TAATACATTCAAGGTAGGATTCTTTTGGGATAATATTCCACAGCTACAAACCTTTGGTGAATGTCCTTTGTGCAAAGTTCCAGAGACTCTTGAACATATTATGCTAGAGTGTATAGCTGTAGAAAGAATATATATTTGGAAATTAACTCAACAGCTTTGGAAAATGAAATATAAGAAATGGCCAAAATTGAGTGGGGATTAGTATTAGGATATAATCTAACTAAATTCCATAGTAGTAAGGGAACTCCTCAGCCTCAGAAAGATCAACTGTTCAGCATTTTAGTGTCAGCTGCATGGTATATAATTTGGAATATGCGAAATGAAAGACGTCTTAAAAATCCAGGTAAGATTTTCCAAAACAATAAGATACATAATCGATGGTTATCATTGATAAATTCAATACTTCAACATGATAGAATCTTGACAAATAAGAATAAATTTGGTAAACTAGCTATTGACCACCAAGTAGTGCTAAATACTTGGAGTGGGCTTCTGCTGGATGAAGACTCCTTGCCGGATAACTGGATATATGAAAAGGGGGTTTTTAGTGGGTATTCTACCCTTGAAAAAAGGTGTTGGATAAATCACACCATTGTAGGAGTTCCACACTGGTTTTAAAACGTGCATAAAGGCATTTCCCCCTGAGCTTAATTTCCGGCATTTTACTGGTATCTTCCAGTGCACCCAGCAGATGTTCTTTGGAATGCTTCTGCAGACTGAAGTTCATTACTCCAAGCGCTCAAAAAAAAAAAAAAAAAAAAAAAAAAAAAAAAGCGATGTTGTTTCTTAGATTGCTCCCTACTTGTCAAATCTAGATTTTAAAATTCATAATCAATGTCAATCAGCTTTGTCAAAGCTTTGTTCTGCCAGTAATCTGACCAGCTTAACTTGAAATGTACAAAAGCTAAGTTTGGCACCATGTGTCCAACTCAGTCCAAGTCACTGAGTAGAAGTCCTAGTCAGCAAGGGAATGATAAGCACAGACTTGGATTTATGATAGGAGTGTTAGTGCTGGCCATAAATAAATATCTTTGAATAAATTTGAATATGTCCTGAATATGATGATTATAATACCAGCGCAGCCTAAATCTTAAATATGGATGAGTATGATTATAATATAATATGATTTGAGTATAATATATTATCAAGATTGTAAATTAGATTACAGTCATGGCAAAGCCAACGGCAGTTGAAGAAGGGGGGGTCCAACGGGAGTTTGAAAGCAGATTTTTTTTGCTTTGTCTCAAACAAAGAAACCCTTGTTTGCCTTTCCACTCCCGCTGGGCCTCCCTTTGGCAAACTGCCATTGGGTTTGCACCAAATTCTTTGGTCCCAAGGTGTGCCAATCGGGAGGATTTTCAAATTTTCTGCATCTATGGCACGCCGAATTTCCCAATCAGGTAAGAGGTCATGCAAAATTTGGCCTGCAGCCCAATTGAACATTCCGGCCAGCCGGTCACAGGTCACAAGCCCGCTGAATTGATCAAAATGGGTCAGTATTCATAACCAGTATTTAAGTTTAGAGCTCCTATACTTATTCTCAGTCAAGTACTTAGTCCTACTGAGAGATGCAACAATCAACATCAGCTAATGTGTTTTACTTTGATGTTTAGTTGCTAACTTCATTTATGTAGACTTTTACACCTCAAATGACAATAAATTGGTTTATGTAAATCAATTCTTGGTATTATAAGGGCAACCCCGGTCCTAGCAGGGGAGGATCCAAAAAAAAAGAGTGAATAATGGTAGTAAGCAAATACAAATGAAGCTGACCTAGCAGGAGAGGCTGTACCGTACAGGGCTTTAGCTGTATATGGTACGGCCTACAGCCCTAATTATCAGTATTTTATCACATTTGTAAATCAGTGTTCATAAATACAGTTTTCATTTGGGATATCGGTATAAACTAGTGCTGAGCATCATTATATTACAATCATGCTATACTGTAGTATTATATTCAATTCGAATGGGGTTGTGAACTGTGATGAAATATTTGAAGTTGTGGCTTCGAAAAATTTGCTTTTTAGGAAGTGATCGGTGCTAGAGGCACCGGAAAAAGTGATAAATTACCATATTTGGACGGTTTGGGACCACAAAAATTAGCTGTGACCTGTGACATTTTTGAAGTTGCTCGAATTTTCAGAGGGCTGTGACCCGTGACATTCGAATTGAATATAATGCTACAGTATCTGGTAGCCAGAGCAAATATTACATTAGACTGTCTGCAATAAGCTGCTATAGCCACTGGAGGGCTATGGTTTCTCTGCAACCAGTCATTGAACTGGAACTACAGTCATAGGTTATTCTTTCTAATAATGATACTTCTATGGCGGTCAAAGTGGGGAAGTAATAAATTTCCACACACTTTGTAAAAAAAAATTCCGATTTTCCACAACATTTTGAGCAAAAAACTACTTTCCGCAACTGTATTTTCTAAACTCAACAAAAAGTTGCAGATCACAGCTGTTCCCAAAATCTGCAAAATATTTTCAGAGTACATAATTTTCGCAACTTTTTTTTTTTCCGCACCATTACTATCTGCTTCAAGTTCTCTGTCAGGGGAAGCGCCCTTCCGGTCCCCCGGAGACACATCCAATTCTGGTCCGACTCCGGTTCCGACTCCCGTCCGGCCCTCCATCTCGCCTGCACAATCACCAATCCGTCAACGCCCTCCCGACAGTCACCCTGGGACCTCGCCTGCGACACCGCCCAAGCCTTCTGTGCCCGACAGCGGCAGCTACGGACAAGCAGTATATAGTCAGCTCCCTAGCAGGCAGACCCTTAGAGTTTCTTCTCTTTGAATCCTTCCCTGCTAGGACCTTGATCTCATGCCTCCGGGGTTGCCCTTACATTCTCGCAAGAACAGCCAGATATTATTTTATATATATTAATAGCTAAGTTAAATCCTATAGCCACCGCTGCTCATCTCCTCAGTGGCGGGGGGCGATCCGGGACAATGCCAGTGACCGGCCAGTCGCTTTTTGGCCACTTGCAGACAGCACCACGATATAGATGGCTTGGGCATGCTGCAGTGCCCGGGACTCCCCACGTCAACTGCTGAGGCGGGCAAGGTGGGCCGGATACGGATGGTGGGGCCGGACTGCCCAGACATACGTTGGACATATGTGAACTCCCTCTGCTGCCAGACAGTTCCAAGTCGTTGCCCCGTGGGCCACTGCTAGTAGCACCACCACCCTAGGCACATTCACAGCCCACCCACCAACCCTTGTAAAATTAATACTTCCCCACTTTGACTGCCATAATACTTCATTTCCTGCTTTTTTTATATTCAAAACCTTTTGAGAGAATAGCAAATTACTAAGCCACCAGAGCTACTGGGTGGCCCATCACAAACTCAGCATTATTTCATATTATATTATATTAGGATATTGTTATATTATTAGAGAGGTTATGTCACTGCTATTAGAGCCGTTGAAAACAGCTCATTAGAGACATTGTGCCACAGCCGTTGAATGGCTCCGATGGCTGCATTCTTTTAGTCTGCTCGGGACCAGATCCCGCGGCAGAACAGATTACCTTATTACATAGTTAATCTCCAATTTTTGTCAAGAAATAATGTTGATAGATACTGTAAGGAGCAATTTAATGAGCCATTGAAGTCATTCAATGACTGGGCTATGGCAGTGGCGCAACAGCTCTATTAAATTGCCACTTGCAGTATCTATAGCTATTATTTCTTGAAAAATTGGCAATTGGCTAAATAGTAAGATAATCTATTCTAATCTGGTCTCAGAGAGGTCAATAAATGCAGCCATTGGAGCTATTCAATAGCTGTGGCATAACCTCTCTATTATTATTATGGCTCTAGCATAATATATTATCATATATATAATATGATTAACTAGTGCTATTTTCATTCTTGTCCTTGTATTATTAATACCATTGATGTACTGTAGATGATTTCCCTGCACACATATTTATAAGGCTAATTTTACTTGTTGGTGATAATGCTGTCCGTTAAGGAGTGATAATATGGTCAGTTGAGGAAGACTTTCATATCTAACTAGTATAGGGTGAGGGGAGGTTTAGCCTAAACAAACAACACACACTCTCAATACACTATTATGTAATATAGTCACAATTTCTAAAAAAAGGAAATCCACTGCAGATATATAACTGAAAGCTCTTCTCTAAACATAATACAATATAGGGATTTGGATGAGCTACTATTCTAGAGCATTATATGATATTGCTACTGAAGTAGTACTAAACCATATGTGGAAAATTAAGGTTGAAAGTGTCAAAAGTTTGTTGAAGCAGGATCATATGTTACAATTATAATATGATATTTCAGATTATTATCATTATATTATATTATGAATATATAGAACCATAGTATCATATTATAATATTATTCAGATAGATTATTACACATTTGGCATAATTACTCTTATATTAAGCAGATGTCGTGTGAATGTATGCACATGTTTGGCACTGGCCTTAGCAATTCATTTGCTCCACATTTCCATTTTTAGGACCACTGCTGTTAAGGCCCAAATTGGTAACAAAAGCTGTAAAATGTGACCAATCCTAATTGGGATACAAAGCTGTATATGATATGTTGAACCCAGTACCATAAAAACATTATATCTAGGGTAATTTACTATGGTATCACCTGAGTATATACTAAGTACTCTCAATTGGCCCACAAATCAACAAATAAATATATAAAATTTACTGACTTGAGTTGCAATCTACGTAGATAGTAGTCGACCAGACGTTTAAGAGGGTTATTATGCACCTGTGTGCTATTCTGTAATTAGTGGGATATTTCTTTAATTTAAAATTTCACTTTATCAAGTAATATTTAAAGCTGGGGCATAGCCCCAGCCCTGTCTAGTAATATCATAAATATCATAAATATCTGGAATGCCTGTTATATTCATGATTGGCCAGCACTATAGGTGAGATGAATGAATGTCTAATATACTAAGACATATCCCTTTCAGTTCTCAGCAGTGTCAAAATTCCATTTCCTACTAATAGTCGTCCAATTGTGCGTTTTGCACTAGACTCAAACGTAAAGGTAGGCTCGCAACCCGTCCTTTCCGTTGTTGCTGGGGACGAAGCACCGCGGGTCGTTGTAAGGTTCCACCCGTGAGCGGCTCGATTCCGCCCTCAGGCACAGCCGGCGCATACGTAAACGCACGGGTCAGTATGAAAAGTAGAACCTTGAGTCTGTGAGTGGAATCAGTAGCCATACTTCAAGTTATATGGTTTCAAGCGCCTGGACACATACTCCGCGAGGGCAAAGCGGAAGCCGATGCAATTGTGCTGCCCGCCGAGGAAGGTGAATTGGTTTCCCCAGATGCCGGGTATCCCGCTGGTCGCTTTCGGGATGTCGTCCCAGCGGTCGGGCCTGCAGGCAATTCATATCCGAGTCAGTATTCACACTACAACCTCGTCAGTGAGAAAAATCGTACCGGAACTCCAGGGCGTCTGCTCCCCATATATCGACGTCCGTATTGACGCCCCATATCGGCAGGTGCACGGTCTGACCCTTGACAATCCTAGGATCCGGATATTCATCAACAATTTGCGACCAGCCGGAGCGAATTTGAGCGAAACCCACGGTAAACTCCAATGCTCCGCTCCAGCCGCATCCACCACTGGGCGCTCCAGAGGTAAAACATCGTCCGTCATGGCCGTGCGCTGCATGAAGAGGGCCGGGGCATGTAGCCGCAATGTCTCCCGCACAACTTTCTCTAGAAACGGCAAACGGTTGAGCTCGTCAAGTGTCGGGCTGTCGGTCGCCGTGGCCGTGACTTCCGCGCGCAGCTGGTCTTGAATTGACTGGTGTCGTGATAGCAAATGGAGAGCCCATGCGGTAGCAGCGCTGTACGTGTCAAACAGAGAACAGGATATCCCAGCACAGAACTTACGCCACAGTTTCGTTGCCAGCAACAAAGAACGCGGGGATCTCTGGATATAAGCATGACAATGAGCGAAAGAAAAACACGTGAAAGCTGGCTGCTCACGCGAAATAACCTCCTCCTCGTCCAACCGCTGCCGCTCAGTCAGTCCCGGCGCCATATTTGCCTTCAACAGTGTTGACAAAAGATCGCGCTGCCTGCTTAGCATCGTGAGCGCATCCTTCTCGTTCGCATCGTCTTCATTTCCAGTGGCGAGAATGGCGGCCTTACTCTCATGAACAATTTTACCCCCGATTTTCATCATTCGGCGATGCGCTGACTGAACAAGGCGAGCTCCAGGAAGTGGCTGGAAAGAGGGAAATGATATTACAAATGCATTAGGAGAGACATGCGTACAAGCAGTTTGAGAACAGGAATAGTCCCCTGCGCCAAACGGATCATGGAGAAGATGTTTGAGTGAGGCGAGTGAAGAAGGTCGGTAAACGCCTGGTTTAGCTCGTTCGTATGACCCGTAGGATTCAGAGCGTTAAAGTCGTAACCAAATCCTGTCCCAAATATTGACTCTGAGAAGAATCGACTGATACTCCAATTGCTCACCCGCTCGGCCAATAACATCCAGCGTCATTTTACGGAGGCTCGCAAAAACATCCAGACTCCCGTTCTCCCCCTGTTGGTGCGTTTGCTTCGCCCAGATGTCCCGCAACTAGCACAAAATATTCACAACCTGGATGTTCGCAATGCACAGACATACCTGAGCCGCTTTCTCCACAAATATCTCCGTCACGGCCCGAATCTGCGACGGCCCGAACGCAGGATTCTATTATCACTATCGTCAACCATGATGGCTATTTTGGCCTCCAAACAGCTCACCATGACGCGTCTCTGGGAGACTTCTCAGCGGGAAGGACACGCGGGTGGCGAAATGGAACTCACGTGTCGTTTATGCTGTTCTGCCTCCGCAAAAAGGATCCCTGGCTCAAGGTTCAGCCGTCAAGAAGTCGGTGCGGAGCCATGACTCACCTTCCCCCATTAGCCGCCGGGATGCATCACGGCTCGCGGGCGGTCTCTGGTAGATTTCTGGGTGGGCAATGATGTGCGTGAGCGCCTTCAGGTCGCCGGTATACAGCTCCGAAATCTGGAAGTCTCAAGTGAGACGAAAGCCGCGTTGTAGACGAAACATACGCTGAACAGGCCATGGAAGAGGTAGTTCTTCCCATAGACAGCCCGCCATTTACTCGAGAGCCGCGCATCCTCCTGCAGGGACGTGATCACAACGAAAACCATGATTTAACAAGATGGCGCCCATACCGCCATCTCCTTGAAGTTACCCAGCACATAGTGCGGAATCGGCGGACCCGGGAGAATACGGCGCAGTGGCGAGGAAAGGTTGCGGTACAGTATCTGGGAGGCGTGAAGAACAAAATACGCGCAGAGAGTGGCGACGATGGGGAGCACAATCTGGGTAATCATGGTATGAAGGCAGGCTAGTCACGGTCAGCAAATGCTATGTCACTCGCTTCGTATCCGCGGGGGTTAATGAAATTCCGGGTTTAAATCGAGCATTGAGAGACTTCCCACTCGTATTGCATCCGACTGCGTATCTACTGAGCGAACAGCTCCAAAACGTTGGCCGAAACCGACCCGGATGCTTCAATACCCACCCACCACTAATGCTCGCTAACAAGATCCATGAGCTCATAGAATATGCAGAAACAGACCAAGTACATACCACATATTGAATTCCTACACACAAGACCGCGACATCAGCAGAGGACGAAAAAACTACCAAAACGGAAGTCCACTCACCCTGGCGAAATACTCCTTATTAACATCTGCGATCATTAACGAGCGCTCTTGCATGAGTTCTTCCCGCACCCGTTTTGCCTCCGCCAGCGTCATGACCCCAGGCACCATCTTCGCGATGAGGTCAATTAACTCCACGGGCAGCATTGCCAATCGCGAGGTTGGCTCCCTGGCAATCGAAAGCAGCGCTTCTCGCAAAACGGGGAGCTGCTGGGGCGGCACATCACTGGTAGACACAACCTCCTTCGTCGGGTCCACGAGAAAAAACACGAGAATCTTTCGAACGCCAGGTTTGCTCGGGTCGACAAGCTTAAATGGCGAAACTTGGTGTTGGTAGAGGTTGGGGAAGGCAATGGAGCGATGGGGTATGGTGGTCACGGACCCGATATCTTGAACACACGATTCGTTCCTGTTGAGCCCAATCAGTAGACGAACGAAGAGCGAATAAACCGGTACCTTGTAAACCCATAAAGTACCGAACTGCAAAAATAGTCATCTTGACCATGGTAGCCTGGAGCGGATGTCCCCATTCTGAAGCGCAAATCGCAGGGCTCGATGTTGTCAGCCTCATAATAGTAGATGAAAGTCGAGACAATGGACTCCGTAGCCATCCCCTCGACGTGCCAAATCCCCCCACCATATTCAGGCTTTTCCGGTGTCAGCATGATATTTGCAAGTTTGACAATAACCTGCAGCCTGGACTCTCGCAATGATACGGGTTCATAGTCGGGTAAGACCCTATCGTAGACCATAGGGGCATCTGGAAGCACCAGTCTGCCCCCATTGCTCGTCAGCCAATCATCCTCGTCTTCTCCATCGGGAGGATATTCGGGCTCGTCAGGCCAGATGCAGTCAATGTCGTCAGTGTCGTAGAGGTATCTCTTGTCGGTAGTGCGACGGACACGTTCTGGAGTCTGTCCACCACGCATCGCTGCCAAAACGTGCTCCCAAAGGGAAACAGCCTTGGACATAACTTTTTCAATAGCGGGCACAAGCGCTAAAGCATCATTGGGAGCGATGTTGTTGATATATGGAGAGGTCAAAGTGACGTTGCCGTCAGCAGCCACCTTGAAGTTGGAGGAAAGCCACTGGAAGCGCTGAGAGACGAATTGCTCGTCAACCCCGAGCTCTTCGGCTGACGGTGGCGGGAAGGTCATGGGATTGTCGTTTTCGTCGAGTCCCCACGACTGGTTGAAGATGAGGGGATAGAGTGACGGATGGACAAGGTCCAGTACGCGTTCGTCTGAGCCTGGGTGCCAGTCCTGTCGTTCGGGAGGTACCTGCTCGAGGGGCTTGACGGCAGCAATAAGCTCTTGGCGGAGTTGTTCAGAGATAAGAGTGTCGGAAAGGTATATTCCATCGTAGGGACCACACTCGAGGTAGTTTTAGAATTCACAATCGAGCAATACTTGCATACTCGCACCTCAATACCGGTCTCCATGTCCCTGAGCTCATGATACGTCCCCAGCTCCTCCATGACGAAGTTGAGCTTAAACGCATAAAGTCAGACCACGGACATCGACAGCCGCCACATACCATATTGTCAGACAACTTCTCCCAAGACTTGAGATCCGTCTGCTGCTCCTTTGCCTCCACCACCCACTTTTCACGGATAGCTTCGTCGCAAAACTTCTCCCACCACCGCGACTTCTGACGAATATGGGATGACAACGCGCACATTCTGAGTTCGAGGGCGGTTCTGGGGGAGCACATACCCGGATCGCCCTCACCCATCATGTCGTCTGCATGGAACGGATGCGGGTAGGGCGATTCAACGCCTTCCGCCATGGTTGTTGAGGAGAGGATGCCGCCCGATGACAGGAGCCCATTTGGTTATTGGCAGCGGGGGAGAGTGAATTCCGTGACGCTCGTGACCGGTGCCAGGTCACGTGCAGATCATCTTCGATAACAACGGCAACCACGTCATCAAGACTCTTCAGCCCCAACGATGAGCTAAGGGAGAATGGCCTGAAACCTCGCAACTCTTATTCTTTCTACATTGACAAGTATTGTCACCGACGACCTTTGACTCCACTCATGGCTCTCAGAGACTCACGTTCGAAACTTGAAGATTGCGCAGTTTTAACACTGTAGTGTCATTCATTATGTGGAACAGCCGACACAGTGCTAAGTGCGCACTTTCGAGTTTGAATTCACAATATAGTAACGCGTAACGTCCTGCCACTTCCAGATACTACTAGTATGAGTGCTTATGCCGTCAGCAGGACTCCGTTTCAATTGTGGAACCAAGCTCAAGCTGCGTCGGACAAGAGAATCGGACTACTGACAAACCGAGCAACAACGTCGACACGGGAATGAAGCGGAACGACATCAGTGACATATCCGTTCATGCAAGCATTCAAGCATCCTGGAATCGTTCATTCACGTCCGAAGTCTCAGAGGATTACCACTACTCCGATTAGCGTTGGAAACACATCTCAAGTTGATTCAATCGTGATTCGACCTGAGGCGGTCTCATTCGCCCAATCAACAAATGGAGGCCATCGATCTCCGCCCAATGGTAGGATAAGTACTAATATACTATCCATTGATTTTTCTATTTACTTTTTCGATACCAGTGTGAAACCCAGACGACAACCGCAATGCGGTCCGCGGCGAACAACAGCCAGACTCAACCTTCGAATCCGTCTTCGTCGATCAGTGGTCGCATCTTCGAACGTACAGGTACGCTGGTATGACAGCTCATGCGAAAGTGCGGCCCTCCACATAAGCAAGATTTGTCCATGTATATGATCGACGGTGGCGGCCGGCTACTCTTCCGACAGAGTCCGACAGTTACTCATCCGACGATCTTAAAGCCGCTGCAAACAAGGATCAGCGTTTAGTAGGTCAGCAGGTGAGGATAAACAGCTGCGAATCATGCTGAATACCTCCACACGAACACAGAACAGGAGGGTCAAAGGTACCTTCTTCGAATTCGGCGAGTCAACCACCCGTTCAACTTGAAGTTGCAATGATTACACCATCCACTGGACGGGCGGCGACCAAGCGGCGACTCTCACACACAAATTACTCTGCGAATACGGCGATCCGTTGCCGGGGATGTTAGTCATCCTTGTGCTAAGGCGGAGAAACGGCCAAAGAAATCATAAATGGTTCATGTTCGAAGTTCGACTGTCGAAGAACCCCTGATTGCCGATAGTATCACTTCCACGCGGGAGTGGTGAATCCTGGATTCGGGTGGCGATACGGCTTCTAACGTCTCATTTTCGATAGGGACCAGCGCTCCAACTTACTACGCGACAGCTCATCCTCGCTCCTGATACCGCAGTGCTTAGCCGAAACATACTGGGAACATGTCTACATGGTATGCAGCGGAGCCGATGAGCATGGCCTTTTGTTCCCCTTTTTTCATTGACAATTCAAGTGGACACAGTCGCAGTGTTCGAACTTCGTCGCGATTTATTCGCTTCGGAGAATTTAACTTCATCCTTGCCCTTCAATCATAGAAAATCTTGGTGACGCTTGGTTCTGGATGTTCGGTCACTGGAGATGGCCGACCTTCCAAATTGTGGAGAGGGACGCGTATAAAAGGCTCGAGCAAGTGCACTTGCCGCCACACATTCCTAATCATGAACTACGCTGGCTCTATTCCCTCGCATCCAAGTCGTGGTCGGCCACGCACACTTGTCGCCTGCTATAATTGCAGGAAACGCAAAACGCGGGTGTGTTGGTTCTTGTCATTTGAAACATACCTATGCTAAATCCTAAAGTGCATTACGACGGAGCACCCTCCCCGAAAGGCTTGCGAGCGATGCTCTGCCAAGGGTCTCGCCTGCCAATATGAGAGCCCTGAAGCCTACGGAGCGCAGGAGCAACCGTCCTTTCCAGACAATCCGCCCTTCGCCGGTTCGGCGCTCTCAGGGTCTCCATCACCACCGCCTCTCGGCCACGGCTCGCCGCAGTACGATCACAGTCCCCACTCTCACCACTATATGCATAACTTCTCCGGCTCTGGATCGGCCCCCGGGACTGGTTACAATTATCCCGTTTTGCCGTCCTCTCCGCATAATATGTACTCGGCTGCCAACCCCGCCGCCCCGTTGATGCCCACTGGTCCCAGTCCTCCACTGCCTCACACGAGCGCACCACCTCCCTTTGCGCGCCCACGATACTCAAACGGAGAAGCTTACCCAGATCTATCCCTCTGGACACCATAATGGATGTCCCTCGATCCTTTGGAATTGTAGCCGTACTAGTAGTGCCAGTGCGTATCTAGACATTCTCGTTGATTTGTATTATTTTAGATCTTCCGCTGGACCCCATCGGTCTCTTCTGTGATCATTCCACTTGCTCAGTTGTCAAAGTCGTTGCAGCGGTCGACGGGCGGCTTCCAATCGCGATGGTAACAACTTCACTGAGAATCAATGAAAAACTGCATAGCTACTGACATCTGGTACTCAAGAGCATTTCAAATTGTCAGGTCTTGACCCACCGCGAAGATAATCAATTCACAACTGCAGTCACCGCGGAGTTCTCTCGCTGCTCAGGTCACGCCACCGCGTTCGGCGATCCTTGACCGGCATCTTGATTCATTGATTTTCGTCGTCGGAGAAGTGTGTTGCTGTACTGCATTCCGGCTTGAACCATGCGCAACTGGGCTACCTCTTCGATAGTTAGACCAGCCGACTCGGATGTCCCTTGTTTCAGATCTAGCTACTTACTCCGAACAGTTGAGGAGAACGTCGATGGGTCGACCAATCGCAGACTATCATGGCAGATGAATGACATCAATGACTACAAAGACCACAATTAAAGTACACACAGTGAGTAAGATGGAAAAGAACTATCAGTGAACGAAACGAATGTAAGCCTATCATTAGTCTATGAATCCCCCACGACTTGCGTATGGATTCCGCATCTATAAGCGGGCCACCTCCTGGATGAAGTCCGCGCAGGCGTCAGAAATGACGTATTTCCAGACGCTCAATATCTTGGGATGTGTGGTTTGGGCCTTCAAAAGCTTGTGCACCGACACCTCGAGCGCGACGGAGAGGTAGCCCATGACGGCTGCTATGGCGTCCGTGCGATGGTCGCGCGGGGTGGTGACCAGCACACGAGTGCTGTACTCGTCGAGCTTGGCGTCTTGGAGGAAGTCTCGGACAGCAAGCAGTTGCAGGGCTTCAAGATGTGTGAAGCCTGTTAAGGAGTCGCCCTCCAGGTCGGAGTTGAAGAGGACATCGTAATATTCGTCCTCTCCAAATTCATCCCCACGTTCAAGGGCTGAAATCCGGGCCGCATTTACCCGCTCGGCAATTTCCTCGTCGGAAGGCGGGTTAGGGCTGTACAACCGCGGAATGCGCAGTCGTAGATGCACAGTCCCGGTTTTTCGGTCTGTTGTCTGCGAAATCGACGCCGAATACCGTGTGGAGAGAGAGATGAAATGGGTGAAGGGGCGCCCGCCGTCCGCCAGGAGGTCTTCGGGGCGCTGCCAACCAGAATCGACGAAGTCGTCTTCAAACGCAACGAAAAGCCCGTGAATGAGCATCTGGCAGCATCGCGATTCGGCGCGCTGCGGGTGGTAGTAGATGCTTGGAGCGGTCGTCACGGGGGCCGGTATGGAGCGTTGGATTTGCGGGGGAGGTGTCGGCTTGGACAGGAAGTTGGAACCCCGGAGGATACGCGGAAGGGAGGAAGCGGCCATTTGGAGACTGCCCGTAACTCGATGCCTCGACATGGGAGTGGTGGGGGTAGAAGGTGTGGCAGGGGAAGGGGGAGGGGAATTGACTATAGTGCTAGGAGAGTCGACGTGATTAGTACGGCGCTTGGAAGTGGCTTTGTAGTCGAGCTGGAGAGGAAGAGACAGTGGTCTGAAGCGGGCGGTGAGGCCGGAGGAACGAGTGGTGTTCTTCATCAACGGTAAAGAGAAGGGAATGCTCGTTGCGAGCGTAAGTAGTAGATAGACAGGGAAGACCCTGGCTGACGTCCCCCTCTTATATTGATCGAGTTACATTCTCGGAAGTATCTTTGGGGCGGAAGGAGACGACTGAGGAGCTCTGTGAGACTGATTCAGTATCGGGAATACTTTATGCGTACCAAATTCAATTCACAAACTCCTAGCACAAGGTACGAAATTGAAATCCCAGAGAAAGAATTGTGTATGCAGCGAAGAAGCAGCAGAATTAGAGGAGCGGGTGCTTGGTACTAGGGTAGACCCAAAAGTTGACTGTGGTCGGACTGAAAGCACGAGAAATTTGTTTTTCCTAGACAAATAACCTGGGTAGAACATCTGCGAGAGTAGCACAAAATCGTGGTTGACGTTGGCGAGAAAGTGGCAATCACGTCACACACTCTTCCTCTCATGTCCACCCCATCGTCTGAGGACGCTTCTTTCGTCTTCGTTGCGGCTGGAACCTCCCACCCTTCCACCGAGCCCAACTACAGACCGGGAAGCGCCGCGACATACGCGCACGACTGGTCAAAGCAGGCTACCGGCGGCCAGCTTCACACCCATGGCAGGCATTTCATCGATGCCTACGGGCGCGTCTGCAGTCTTCGAGGCGTCAATCTAGGAGGCTCTTGCAAGACGTGTGTACCTCTCTATGCCAAAACAAGCTCACGGAAACACGCTCACAACTCTCCACAGTCCCACCAACGACGACAACGCCACCTTCCCAGCTGGGCATCAAACCGCCACGTTTGTCGGGCGACCGTTTCCCCTAGAGGAGGCCCAGGAGCATCTCTCGCGACTGAGGCGGTGGGGACTATCTTTTGGTGAGTTGTTTTTTTCAATCCACTTGCTGTGACTGACGCGACAAGTGAGGTTTTTGGTAACTTGGGAAGCATTAGAGCATTCGGGACCGTACGTGATTGCTTGTATTAATTTGCCTCCAACTCATTCCCCATCGCAGTGGAATCTACGACACCGAGTACCTGGCTTATATCCGCGCCTTACTCTCCCTTCTCCCGCAATACGGCATGACCGCGTTCGTCTCCATCCACCAGGACGTTTGGTCGCGGTACTCGGGTGGCTCCGGCGCTCCGGCTTGGACATTGGAGTCTGCTGGTTTTGATTTAGGCGGATTAGAGGAATCTCAGGCTGCTTGGCTGTTAGGCGTCAAAGGTGGCGGGCATGTCGAGGAAGAACGGGGCTTGTGGCCTTGCGGGTACCAGAAGCTCTCTGCGGCTACTATGGCGTGCGTATTACAGTTTGTCTTGCTGTTTTCAGCGTACTCAATTCCTCATAGAACTTGTTTTTGGGCGGGTGATACGTTCACGCCTAAGTTACTCGTAGAAGATCGCCATGGGAAGCATGTTCCTGTGCAGCAATTCCTTCAGAATGCGTATATCGACATGTCCGTTGAGCTGGCGAAAGCTGTTGGAGATTTAGACGCGGTCATCGGATTTGAGGTGCCTCTTCTTTCTTCTTCAATCATTCGTATTCAATATGTGCAGATGATGAATGAACCACATCGAGGTTACATCGACCTGAAGTCCCTGCACGAATTCGACTACAATACCGATCTACACCTGTCTTATGTTCGTGAGTAGCTGACAAGCTAGATTTGTCGGCCAACTGCTCATCGTTTGTAGCCTCCGCATTCCAGTCTTTCCAACTAGGTGCGGGCCATCCGACGTCGGTCTCTTCATGGACCCGCTCTTTCCCGATGCCAACAAGCAAGACGGGCGAGGCGGTACTGAACACAAAACGACGTAAAGCATGGCGAAAGGATGGACCTACGTTTGGCGAATGTGTCTGGGCAATGCATGGTGTGTGGGGCTGGGACAAGAACAAGGACGTGGCGGTTGTGTTAAGGGAGAACTACTTTACGAAGCACCCGATGACAGGCGACAAAGTATGCATTTTTTGCCTTAAGGTGGACAACTCTTTACTGACTCGTGCTAGATTGACTGGTATACCGACTTTTACTACCCATTCCTGCAAAAGTGGACTAGTCGCATGCGGGAGCACTCATCTTCGGATAAGCTCGCCTTTGTCGAAGCCATCCCGAACGAGTTTTGTCCACCGTCATGGACCCCAGAACATCGAGTGAAGAATATGGTCTACGCGCCGCACTGGTACGATCTCAACGCGTTATTCCAAAAGGCGTTTGGCGACTTTACCGTCAATGTACAAGGTCTTTCCAGGGTATCGCTGCTTTTACATGCCATTTTAAGTGTGTTCCTAACGATTTGGCAGGGTATGTTTCCGCTCAAGGCATTTTACTGGGGTCAAGAAGGCGCTCGCGATAACTTCTCGTTGCAGCTACGCAACGTTGTTGAGGGCGGATATAAAGCTCTTGGGGAGACTCCGGTTATGATCGGTGAATGCGGGATTCCAATGGACATGAAGTATGCCGACCTGCTCGCATTCTTTTCTCGCAACTTATTTGTTTGCAGCAAAGGCGAATCGTTCCAAACTGACGACTTTACCTGGCAGGCGCGAATGATGGATGCGATGATAACGGGCCTTGAACGAGCTCTGGTGGGCTTTACGTTGTGGAACTACAATCCCTTCAACGACGACAAACATGGAGACCACTGGAACGGGGAGAACTTTTCCTGGTTTAGCCGGCGTCGCGCGTTGCCACCATCATTACTCTATTTCGAGCAGGACGCGCCGTCGCTGGATCAAGGCGGGCGAATTCTATCGGCAGTCGTCAGGCCATACCCAGCGAAGACTGCCGGAATTCCGGTGCGATTCTCGTACGAGATGACGACAGGGACATTCGAGTTTGAGTGGGTCGTGCCCAGCGCGAGCACCAGCACTTCGGACTATTCCCCCTCTGTTTCCTCCCCGCCCCTCTCCGGCCACCCCCAGCTGAATTCCTATGAAACCGAAATCTTCGTGCCCTCGGCTCTCACGCGTGGGAGGAAGGTGCTTGTGCACGGCCTCACGAAGGAGGACCGCTGTCTACACGACGAGGCGCGGCAAACGCTATTCGTTGTGCCCGCAGACAACTCCCCGGGAAAGCGGTACGCGGTACGAGTGGAGGTCAGCCCGGCAGTGCGGCCACTGTTTGAGCTGAACGACTTTGGGAGCGACTGGGGCGGGACGGTGTTTGCGGTGGTTGTGGTGTTGTTGGCCATTTTGGGTTATTGGATGTTTCGATAGTCGCCCTTGGAAGCTTGATAAAGTGTTTCGAATATCTAGACATTGTTCCGAGTCAGAGGAAATAATTAGGAGATATTCAGATGGATTTATACCTTTTACTCTATGCGGAAAACCGTTGAGCCTGCTGTGCTAGGATTCAAACTGCAAACTGTACGGATGATCGAAGCTGGCTGCTGATGCCTGTGAACTCTGATATATAGTGATTGCTTTGGACTATTGGGTCCAACGACAAACAAGCTATACATAATAGCTCACAAAAACTTGAGTTGCGCTGAAACTATATATAAAAACTAGGTGCTGGCCAAGTGGCCAACCTAAACACCTTGCCTTAGTGACTATTTAGCCAAATCTCAATCATTTCTCCCGCTTTTGCTCTATGTTTTGCATAAATGTACACTATTACAATATACACCTTTTATCCCTCCCAGATATTTTTTTTCAAGTTACAAAAGTCAAATAACTCACTGGGCTGATGTAGGAATCCCCCCTCTGGGAAAGTTACAGGATAAATGGATGAGTAAATTCCAAATTTATCTATAGATTTTTTGTATGGTAAAGCCCCTGTATAAAGGATAGTTTTTGCTACAAGGAAAATCCAGGAATAAAGCTGATATATTTCCAGAACACCAACCCATGGTAAAGCTTATAGATAAATGCCATATTTGTTCACTAATTTAACATGACATTTGTACAAAGGAAAAAACTAGAGATAATGTTAAAGATAACCAGCTTCCTTGTTGGCTTACATCAGAGCCGACCCGTAGATAGTCGTAGTTTGTCCTCCTTGCACTATAGACGAAGTACAGAGGCAAACTGTAAAGACCCGTTACCCGTTAACGCCCATCATCTACCCTGGCGACCGGTCGGGCATCCCAGCCCCGATCTGTTAGATCGGCATCAAGCACATGCCTCGTCGCACGCCAAGACCCAATTGCTAACAGATAAATCTTGGATAAATCCAGACATTTAGCTGTAACTTGTAAGAAAAAAGTGGGGTTTTCCTACTGGATAAAGCCACAGAAAAATTTGCCATTCACAAGACAAAGACAAGTTTATCTGTTGCTTTATCTGTCAGAGAGAAATCTCAGGTTTTTTCCTGCAGATCAATGCTCAGATATATCTAGGATTTATATCTAGTTTTTTTCTTTGTCAAAATCACGGTTCAAATTAGTAAATAAATGTGGCATTTATCAGACAGTTTTACTTCCGGTTTTTCTGGTAGAAAAAGGACAGCTTTGTCCACAGATTTTCTTTGTGTCAAAAGCTATCATTTATATAGCCATCTTATCACACAAAAAAAAGTTATAAAAATCTGGAATTTACTCTTGCCTTTATCTTATAACTTTCCGAATCAGCCCAGTGAGTACTACTGTACTGACATCTACTTACATAGTACCAGATTCCTTTCTTAAGCTTATAGAATGCCAAGTTTGTGTAATATACTGTACTAGAGTGTAAGTATCACTACAACCTAATATACACTGGGCTGATTCAGAAATCCCTCCTTGGGAAAGTTATAGAAGAAAGGCAAGAGGAAATTCCAGATTTATCTCTCTATTTTTTTTTGTATGATAAGAGTGCTCTAGAGGTCAGCAAGATCTCTATCAAGCAGCCATGATATGACTTTGACATGTCTCCATTTGGACACAATGGTCAAGATGATTGCTCAAGGCCATTGATAGGAAAAACCTAGGATTTCTTTGATATAGATAAACTTGTCTTTGTATTTTGAATAATACATGTTTCTGTGGCTTTATTTAGCAGAATAATCCCAGGTGTCAGGGGAACCTCCCTTTCAGCCCCTTGCAGACGATTCCGATTCCGGTTCCAACTCCGGTCCGGCCCTCCATCTCACCCGCACAATCACCGATCCGTCAACACCCTCTCAACGGTCGCCCTGGGACCTCGCCTGCGACGCCCAAGCCTTCTGTGCCCAACAGCAGCAGCTACAGACAAGCAGTACATATATAGTCAGCTACCTAGCAGGCAGACCCTCAGAGTTTCTTCTCTTTGGATCCTCCCCTGCTAGGCCAGCTTCATTTGTATTCACTTACCAATATTCACGCTTTGGATCCTCCCCTGCTTGGACCTTGATCTCAGGCCTCCGGCATTGCCCTTACAGCAGAAGAAACTCTCTACAGATCAACCAGACAAGATTGCTAGGTTTGGCGCTGACTCAGGCTCGGAGTACAAGTCCGTTCTGCCCTCGTCACTGCCCCTACCACTTGTCCCCTCCTCCTCTGTCACTCCTGTCATCCCCACACCTGCCATGCTTTCCGAAGCTGCTTCGGACGCTGGCACTCGGCTGGATGCACTCAAGGCAAAAATCGACCACCTAACTGAGGCCCTTACTCTCCTCACCACCCAGGCTTCCGCTGCCACTGCCACTGTAAGGGCAACCCTGGAGACTCCGACGAAAGTCTAGCAGGGGAGGATCCAAAGCGTGAATAAAAGCTACAGGAAATACACGGAGGGACCGACCTAGCAGGGGAGGATCCAAAGAGAAGAAACTCTAAGGGTCCGCCTGCTAGGGCGCCAACTATATACTGGTCGTCCGTAACTGCCGACGTAGAGCGCAGAAGGCCTGAGCGGCGTCGCAGGCTCTGTCCCAAGGTGATCGTTGGGAGGGTCTTGACGGATCGGTGATTGTGCGGGCGAAGGAGGCCGTGGACGATGGTCGGGGTGGGTCGGAGCATCCGAGGGGGTGCCGGTCGGATGCGCCTCGGATGCGTTCGGAGGGTCCGAAGGAGGCCGAAGCGGGGGTTCCCCTGACATCACCCCCCCCTTTGAATGCGGCGTCCCGACGCATAGTTCGAAAGGGCAAGGAGTCGAAGGTCGCTGAGGCGATGTGCCGTGGTTTGGGCGGGTACCTCCGATAGAAGTCCGCAATCTTGTCTGGCGCAAAGACACGGTCGAACCAAACCCACGAGTCGTGTGAGGCGTCGTAGCCTTTCCACCTGACGAAATAGTTAAGACGCTTATACCTTATCCTGGCATCCAAGATTTCCTCGACTTCCCATTCGGGGACTCCGTCCTCTAGTTCGGGGGGCGGTTCGTCGTAGCCGGGTCGTCCATCGAAGGGGTCGTCCTGAGCGGGCTCGAGCTTAACAACGGGGAAGACGGGGTGGAGCTTGGAGTAACGCGGGGGGAGGTCGAGCTTGTAGGCACCTTTGCTAACCTCTGCAAGCACCTTGAACGGTCCGAGGCGCTTGTGGGAGAACTTCTCGGAGGGCCGAGTCGTTCTGATGTCAGAAGCGTCCAGCCGAACCTTATCACCAACTTGAATATTCGGAGCATCCGAACGTTTCCGATCGTAGTACTGTTTATACTCGTCTTTGGCTTTAACGAGCGCGGCCTTTGCCTCGGAGACGCCGTTAGCTATCCGATCACGAAACTCGTTCACCGACTCCAACTCTGAGCGGGCGCCTGGCTCAAAACCCATTCGGGGGAGCCGACCAGTGTCAGTCATAAAGGGTACCTGTTGAGTGGAGGAGTGAACGTGGTTGTTATAGGCGAACTCAGCGGCAGGGATAAGCTCGTCCCAGTCGTCTTGTTGGTAGTTGGTGAAGATCCGGATGTACTGCTCGAGCTCTTGGTTAACGCGTTCGGTTTGTCCGTCGGTTTGCGGGTGGTAAGCCGTAGAGGTGGCCGGTTTGACGCCAATTAAGCGCCAGAGTTCGCGCGTGAAGTCAGCGACGAACTGCGAACCACGGTCCGAAGTGTACTTCTCGGGGGTTCCGTGGTGCCGCCAGACATTCCGATAGTACAACCGGGCGGCTCCGACCGCGTCTATTGTCGTATGACACTCGGTGAAGTGGGCGCGTTTACCAAGAGCGTCGACGACTACCATGACCGCGTCGTACCCATGAGCCTTGGGGAGCTCGACCATGAAGTCCACCGTGACGGTGTGCCAGCGTTCGGGGGGGACTTCGGTCGGGTGTAGCTCTCCGTGCGGGAGCCTTCGGAGGGCCTTCGTGCGGCAGCACAAGTCGCAGGTCGCAACGTAGCGTCCGATATGGCGGGACATCTGTGGCCACCAGTAGTTGCGCGAAACCAGCTCTAGGGCTTTGAACCGACCGGGCGTGTCCGGCGACCCGTGTTGTGGCAGAGCTCGATGATGCGCCTCCTTAGGTCCTTGTCTTTGGGGACTACAACCTTGCCGCGGAAGTACAAGAGATCGCCCAAGACGGCCCACTCGTCCGAACGTGATGAGCGGGGGCCCCGAACTTGACCTCGGACCTTCAAAATTTCCCGGGCCGCAAGCGCGACGGGCTCCTCTAGGTCAGGCTCACCGGATAGCGCTTCCTTGATGTCGCAGACAAGTTCGGACCCAGGCCCAGAGACAGTGACAGCCTCCAGCGCGCGAACGTGGAAAAGCTCGGGGCGCAAGAGGGTGACATCCGAGTTGTCTTCGGAGATGCCGTGGTCAGGCTGGCGGGAGAGAGCGTCGGGGCGGCCCATCTGGCGACCTGGGACGTGGTGCAGCGTGAAGTCAAACCTAGAAAGGTACAACGACCATCGGGCTTGCCGACGGTTAAGGTGCTGCGCCTTTCGGAAATACTCCAAATTCTTATGGTCAGTCCAAATCTCGACCGGATGCGCGGCGCCCTCGGGAAATGCCGATACTCCTCGAGTGCGGGATGATCGCGAGCATCTCCTTGTCGTGAATCTCATAGTTGCGCTGGACATCATTTAAGCTTTTGGAATAGAACGCTACAGGGTGCCACTTCCCGTCCGGGGCGGATTGTTGTGAAAGAACCGCCCCGTCGCATAATCTGAGCTGTCTGCTTCAAGTCGGAAAGGCCGAGAGTCGTCCGGGATCGCTAAGACGGGCTCTGAGACGACCGCGTCTTTGATAGCTTGAAAGGCGGCGGCCGGCGTCTCCCCAGGTCCATTTCTGGTCTTTCTTGGTGAGCGCAAAGAGAGGCTGCGCGAGGGCCGAGAAATCCCGAATGAACCTGCGGTAGAAATTAGCAAACCGCAGAAACTGCTGGACGTCC